TCTCCTGGTGCAACTCTTTTTTTTTTTTACCCAAAAAAACGATTATGTGTGATTTTTTTCATCTACATTGATTGCATTATTATTCTTTATCACTCATAATAATGTGTAAGATGCGATGGGCGGAAATACAATGCCAGAGTCCCCATCAAACCATAAGAAGCTGCAGTTTGAGGAGAACTGAGAATTTACAAGGAATGACCTTCCACAATTACACTTCTCAGACTGCTGCTGTCATGTGAATGCCTTCTTGTTACACAACAGAATTACAAAGTTTAGACAAATGCATAGCAGTGGAGCTGCGCCAAGGTTTAATTAGGCCTTGTGATCAAGATCTTTGTAATTACTCGCTTCTTTCAGTGTGATGAATTCACCTTTTTGGGCACAACCTTACAATTCAATTTTGAGTAAACCAAGGCCACTCATTTTATGGCTCTTTTGTGTACAGCTCAGTGTTCAGAGGCTTTGTAAAAGGAATGGAAGCTTGTTTAAATTTTTTTTTTTTAAATTTAATTTATTTTTTTGTACAGAGTGATGAGTACTTTTGTGTTCTATATTGAAGAAAATGAGGTTTCTAGTGGTTATTCATTGAAGTTCCTCTTGGTACTCTTTTCTCTAACTTGTGGTAGGTAAAAATAGTGAAGGACTATTACAGTAACTGGCTGATGGCTTAGAAACACTTGACAAGTTACAAGTTGAAGTGTTTACAAATGGAAATTTGCCTTTTTTTTTTTTTTTTTTTTTTTACAATATTGACTACAGTATGTCTGGCACTTCAAAGCTGTCAATGATCAGAAATTAAGCAAGTGGTAAATATGATTAGAAATAGTAATCATCCATCATTTGTCTTTCTAGAGGAAAAAAACCCCTAGCTTTAAATTCCTTAATTCCCATCATTTCCTAAATTAATGAACTTGAAAACGTAATACTGAATATTTACTCTTTGTCCTTAGGAAAAAAAGGAGAAACTGCAGTTTTTAAAGTGCTCTCCTAAAGAAGACAACATAGTTGTATCAAAAATACTCAGTAAAATGTGATACAACTGAATTAATCATGTCTGTGTCTGTTCAGTTAGTTTCCTGTTTGTTTGCAGTAAGTGGAGAGGGCATGAAGTACTGTGAATTAGAAGTTATTTTTTAGGATAACAGCTAGTAAGTTAGAAATATGGATGTAGGGCTGGTTTAGGAGGTTTGTGGAGGGTTGGATGATGAATTGAGTGGCCAGCAGTGGCCATAATAATTTTTACGTATAGGGTCCAACTTCTCCATCATCAAGTAGATGTCATCATTTTTCTTCAGTCAGACTTCTTAAAAACAGAACTCTCACTTGACTGGACAAATTTAGTAACATGTGAAAAACTGCTAACAGGGGATAAAAATGAGGATATCTTACTGTAGGCAAATTACCTGGAATTAAATGCCCTGATCAAAGAATGAGCCAGATAAGGATTTCTGTAAGTTCAAGACATTTTTTGTAGCATTCTTTGGTTTCAAATCAAATTCTTCTGGGAGCTTCCATCATAAAGAACTTCTTGTGATGGCCTCAAAAATGACCTGTATCTTGCAGACTTCTCTCTGGATTTTTATACTTTAGATACTGTACTAATGAAGTAGCCAAATGATTCTGTTTTTTATTTATCGTCGATTTCCGTATTGTAAAATCCACCCTAAACCATATCTGGTTTTATTTTTTAATATATTCATCTACTTAAGCATTGTGGAGAGTAGCTTGGGTAGAGCAAGGAGTGACCACAATAACTTTCATTCAAGCACACCATTTTAATTAATAATTGTAAATTTTACAAATTCTGTATTTTAGCTACAAAAGCAAATAAAGTTTTCCATTTTTAAGGAGATAAGATACTGTACAAAAAGATTATACCATTTAAATTTTCCTATTTCATCATTTTATGGAAAGAAGGGAAACAAATTGCAAAAATTTAAAATGTCAAACTAATGAAGTTATAAATGATGAACAACTTGTAAGGCATGCAAACGAAAGCCATGGTTTGCTGTGGGACTGTGAAAAAAGAACTGAATAATTCATCAGGATAGAATAAATAAGAATATTTCCATACAGCAGTTGCAGGTTTGTTTATTGATCTATATGGTATAAGTTCTTAAAAGAGGCATTATTTAGCACAAGGGAGAAAGTGTAATGTACCTACAATACTGAAAATACTTTATTTCTGATTTTGGGACTTCATTGCCTGTCAGGGAAGAAAATCCCAGGGAAACATGAAAACTGAAAAAAACCCACAGTACATTGCATAATGAAGGGGGGAAATGGAAGTTTCTGTAACACCCGAGACTGGACTGTGGCAAAATTTTTGCAACTACAGAATTCTAGCAATTATTAAGTAGCACCAGAAATGTCAGTACAACTGACCTGCTGTTATGGCCTTGTCCTGTCCTCCCTCCCACTCAGAAATACAGGGAAGAGAAGGTTTTGATCAAGTGTCTGTGAACTGCATGGTGTAATCAAGTCTCAAATAACCTGGTAAACAAATAATTAAACCCAACACAATGCAGTATCTCCCAGGGAATCCCTGTGAATTCACCAGGGGTCAGAGCTGTGTTCCTCCGGGATCAGTGCTATGGCAAATTCAAAAAAAAAAAGGAAAAAAAACCACCCCAAATTTAAAATTCTGAAAAACCCACTTCAATTGAGACAATTATGAAAATGTTATTTTTAGGTATATTTCTTATAAGGTCGTCTTAGGACATTTAATGGCTAACAGTTATAACTGTAATCCTTTTCACCCCCTGTTTTGGAATAATCGTTATTTCTTTCTCTGTTTTTTAAAGTACTGAGTATATTTTGCCATTTTACTTTTTTAAAGTTGTTTTCTAAGTGAGGAAGAGCATGAACTCATCAGGGGCAGGTCCCTATATCCCTGTGGGAGCTCTGCATGCCCAGAGGTTGTTCCCTTCTAACAGAGACCTCAACCTGCTGGGACATGTTTGTCCAGTGATTTGTTGGATTCTGTTCCAATGCTTTGTGCTCCACTGGACATCCCACAGTGCACATTCCAAGGCCATCAGAGGTAGGCTCAGCTTGGGCAGCACAGGGACAATCAGGAATTGCAGTGCAGGGAGATGTGATGCTGTAATAAGGCTCATCTTTATTAGTGCCCTTTAATGGGCTACTCCTTCCTGGTCAGGGACTGCAGCACAGGCTCTGCTGGACATTTTAAAATGTGCAGGCTTTTAACATTTTTCTCCATCAGTGATGCCACTGCTGTCATCCTTCACCTAGAAAACTTGCACGTACAGAAATAACATGCAACATACTTCACTCAAACTGTGCCTGTCATGGTTTTATTGGACATGGTTGCCTGATGCTCAGCTTAAACAGGTCGTATTTTGCTTAAAATAAACCCAACAAACCAACCCTAAAAACTTTCTATTCTGTTTTCCTTTGGAAATGGAGATAATCTGAAAGCAACTCTTGGACATGAATGGCCGTTCCTCTTGGAGAACCACATTTATTTGCCACAGCTCCACCGTTTGTTTGGTTTGTGGTGGTCTCTCTCATAAGGAGTGTATTATGATTGCAAAGTACTTGCTATACGAAATTCACCTAGCTGACTTTCTCTTGTCAGTTGCAATTATACAGTGTTTTAACACCGATCCATGCATAAGTTTTTTTATTACAGGCTTTTTAATGAATCAAAGCCTTACACTCATATTGAAAGCCAGCACTTTCTGCAGGTTTTACATTTAAGTGGTATTTCTAGACTTTTCCAAACAACTTGGAATGGAATCCAGTCAGCTTGGATGCTAAATATGCTGCTGCTAGTTACTCATAACTTTGACTCTAAAACACAGTTTAAGCCATTGAAAAAGAAATAAATCTGTGGTAATTAACAGAATATTTGCTTTTTGCTTGGTTTCAAAAGGTCAGCCCTCCTTTGTGCCAGTTTTCAGATCTTTCCAGCACTATTCCTTAGTTTCCTAGGTAGTGTACCAAACACCTGGATTTCCATATCTGCATCTTTTGGACATAAAGTGTAAGCACACAATAAGTGGGGTGATAATTTAATAAGCATCAACCATGTGTGTTCTGCAGGGCAGGTATTGGCGGGTCATTAGTAACCTACCAGTGGCTCAGGGTGCATTTTGTGGGCTGGAGTACTTTCACAGGAGATTTTCAAGCCTTTATAGGTGTTTCAGCCTCATGCCCTACAGAAACACATTTCAGGAAGGAAGACTGCTTGAAATTAAAAGTAATTGAAGTTCCAACACATGACAACAGAAACAGTTTGGCTTTGCTTTTTGTGTGACAATCTCCTGCTTTGTAAATTGCCAGGAGCAATATTCTTTACTTGCTTATTCCAGCTGAAGGATTTGCAAAGGTAACTAATTTCATCCTCTGATTCACTCCTTAGAAATCCCTTTTTTCTTTTCCCTTCCAAAAACATAACCGAAATTCTTCTAATTTGTCATGGTGTTTATTTTTGGGGTTGGTAAAATCCATAGGCATTACCAGCAGAATCATGAGCATCCCTTCTTGTGCTGTTTGTTCCAGAATCCTGTTTTGGAGCTTGTTGTTTTGAGGAAGTATTACAGTCTGATGAAATTAGAGTGCTTGAAAATCATTGATAAAATACATAAATTACTTAGTTTATGCTGTATGTGTATCCTTGTGCATGTGTGAGGCTGTTTATGCACGTAATACGAGAGAAAGTGTGCAAGTTGCACTCACAGTTGTGTATGTAGTCACACTCAGGTACAATATTTCAAAAAAATTTAGTCAATCTATTTAATGGATGCATGCAGCCTCTGGCATCCTTCCCCTCATTTGTTATTTTTACAAATCATGATACTTGTATAGGCGAAACTAAACAATTTTAATTCAGCTTCAGATGAAACAATGACAAAATGACATATCCAGAGAATTACTTTCTGCGCTTTGGTGAGGTTTTGGGGTTTTTTTGGGGCGGGGGGTTTAATGCCTACCAATGCAATGACAAAGGTTTATTTTCCCTTTGTTCTTTTCAGAGTGCTGCAGCAGCTCCCAGTCCAGTGCTAGGAAACATTCCCCCAGGAGATGGCATGCCAGTAGGTCCTGTACCACCGGGGTTTTTTCAGGTATTCAGAAAAAATTACGATTACAGGCATTTCAGGATAGCACATCCTCTGTAATACTGTTTGCAAGTCTGTAGAAAAGGTTCTTTCCTAAACTATGTCTCACTATATGGTGCAATATTTGAGTTTATTTTAAACAAGAGTGAATAGGTGGAAAGGAAGGGACCTGACTGTAGTTTATGAAATAGTACAGCACAACTCCTCTCAAGAACAAGAAACGGTGCCATTTTATTAGTAGAGATTGAAAATACTTGAGTGAGTATAATATTAAAATAATTTCTTATGATAATATACATGACATTACATGGAAATTTTAAAGTGAGAAGGTTGTTGGTTGTATTCAGCTCTGTGCTAAGCCACAGGCCAGATCTCTGAGGTCTTCAGGCTTCAGTGGGAATTAAGCCCGGGCAATTAATAGTATCCCATTGGGCATCTCCTTGCATGTTGAAGATGCCAACCCCAGTGCCCAAAAAAACAAGTCCAGGATTTATACCATGTGTTGCTTTTATTATGTTTTGTCATCAGTGAAACTAAACACCCAGTGAGGATTTCGAGCATTGATAGTGCAGAATATTATGGTGGAAAAAATGGCATCTTTTAATGCTGGGTCAACCTGATACTTGTAATCTGAGTCTGGACTTCTCCTGGGGTGAGGTTGTGTCTCCTCTTCACCAAAACTCCCTTCGTTTTCTCCACATTGGCAAACTCGGGCATGATTTTTGATATGTGAATGAGAAGATACATGCAAGTGAAGTGGAAAATATCTGACTACTGCCAGTCACAAAATCCTCAGGAGCTGGTAGAACTGATTAATTAATTTATTTCTACTTTTCCTGCTTTCAACAGCTGGTTAGGTATATTTTTTTAACACACAGTTTTATCTTACTTTTTAGAGTGTATCAATACTTTGCTTTTTTTTTCTTTCTTTTTTTTTTTTACTTCAGTCACCCACTCCAGTTGTGATGTCAAAGGAATTAATTTTTTTTCTGTTACTGTCTGGGATGACAATTAAGTGGAGGAAGGGGCACCAATAGCACAAGTATGTGAAGTGCAGAGGAGAGAGTAACTATTTTAAAGGTTTTACAGAAGGAGGATGTGGGAGTTTTGTTTTTAGAAGCATGAAAAGACTTCCAGCCACTCTAGATCTTTTAAAGATGTCAGAAAGACAAGATGACAGAAAGTTAAGTGTGGGTAAAATTTCCTTGTCTGCCAGTATCTGACTTGAGTCTTACTTGAAGCCACAACAACAGCCTGCTCTTTTTGCAAGGCCTGGGATTGAAAATTAACCTTTTTTTTTTTTTTTAAAGATTATTAATTTTTGCTGCAGTCATCTTCTTAAGAATACGCGTAGGTTTGTAAATCCAAGTGCGGATTTGATAGTGGGTGTATCGATATGGTTGGGAGCAATCCCACCAAAGAATTGGGAGCTGAGCCAAAATCCAGTCATTTACATCCCAGTGTGCTGGAAACTGTAAGGTGTGTGTAAAGCTGATGAACGCAGACAGCCCCTGACAAGGTGTGGTGGTGTTGGAGTGAGTGTTGTCAGGCAGCAGTTTAATACCAGATTGCGAAACCCTCAGTGGGAGCTGAGTCTCACCAAGGTCAATTCATCTGACAAGAAAATGTATTGGCAGACACAGCTCTGCCTGTGAAACCTGAAAATTGGGGAACATCATCTGCTGCCCTGAAACACAGGTGAAATCACAAGCTAGACAGGGAAACTCATGACGAAAACTTCCTACTTCCTTCGTAGGTACTGTTTTCCTTGTACACCTTTAATTAGGCAGTGCATTTTTCTGTTCTCTCCTTGCCATTTCTCTGGTCCCAGCTGGTCCTGAGGTCAACCAAACCACAGAAAACATCTTCATGTGCCTTGATCTGAGTACTGACAAACTCCAGTCCTCTTTCACCAGGAGTTTGCAGTTCAGACCTGCAGCTCCCTCTTGGATGATGAAAGCAAACAATTTTGTTCTTCGGGAGAGGGAAGATTACGGGGAGAGCAGAGAGTGGTGCTTATGTCTATATTTAGTTCTCTGAGACTTTGCACTACAAAAGCGTTGTAGCACTTCAACTTCTTTTAACCTAAAATTTATCTAGAAGGTCATCCTGGAATGATAAGGATGCCTTTTGTTGCTTTCATGAGTTGTTTGGATTGGCCTAAGCTGAAGCTTTCGACAGCCACTGCTGCCCAGCTCTGCTTGGAGAGCTCAGATGATTTAGAGTAATTGCTTTTCTTTTGGTTTTGCACTGAAACTGTGTTTCAAGTGGTCATAAACCACTCATAGTGATGTAACCAAACTGGAAGTCATTGCTGCTGCAGTGGCTTCTTATCAGACAGGTCAGGGGAACATGGAAGTCCAGATGGGGACTGTGCTGCAAACAAAGGATCGTTACTGGGGCTCCCTTATGGCTGGCTCTGATGACCATTAACATTTCTGAGAACTTTGGGGTTTTTTTTTAATAAAATAAATATTTTTCTTTTTTTTTTTAAGAAAATAAATATATTTTAATTTTATAAAATAACATAGTGTGTTAGTGTAGCAGATGGAGGTAGCTAAATAAGGGAGAATTATGGTTTCTCAGACAGTGTGTGGTAAAACTCTGCTCTTTGTAAAGCGAGGTTTTCTTGCATATTTAGACCACCAGCACTGAAGTTAATTAGCAACCTCAGGCATTTCTTGCCTGGTCCACAGAGGTGTAGTTTCTGAAGCCATCAGCTGAATTTTTCTTGTGTCTGTGTGTACCTGTACTTTTATACTTCAGTTCAGGTGATGGATGATGGCCACTACAGTGCTGACAGTCCGAAACAATGATACAGTGAAGGGAAGGTGGTGGAATTGAACACTGCTGTTTTCAACTAAATGACTTCTTCAGTTGAAGAAGTTAAAGGCTTTTTTAGTTCAAAAAAAAAAAAAAAAAAAAAGAGAATTGTTTACAATATCAGTGACATTTGAGAAGTCAAGAAAACAAGTTTATGTGGTGGAGGTAGGATGTGCCTCAGTTTCCTCCTCCTTTGTATGTGCTTTAATGTCACAAGTGTGTATTTTTTGCCCTCATCTTCTTTTAGTCTGTACAGTAGTGAGACTCTGGAAATAAACAGGTGTGATACAATAACTGAGACTGTTCTTGGTTCATTAGCAGCAAAACTTGAATGTGTGGGACTACAGGAGCAGTGAAGGCATTAGTTCTAGGAGAGCCCAAACAGTTACTTGGGCAACATAAATCGTAAAACTATATTACACTGCATAAGGTTAAGATGACATTACGTGTTTATGAAATGCTCATCTAACTCTGATCTGAGTCTGGAAATCATTTTAGCAGTTTTCCCTTGGACCACTTCCTGTCTATGGAGCTCAGGTGTGAGGAAGGCACTTTGCTACTGTGTTAGTAAAATAAAGTCATTTGGGAAATTTTCTGTGTAATTTTTTAGACATTTTTTAGTCTGTGTTATTTGTAAGTTTCTTCTTATGTCTAGCCACAGAGATCAACATGACCTGGTCTGCGTTCCTCTCTTTGTAGCCTGATCCTGACATGGGGCAACTGAAAAACTGAATAAAATTGTAATAAATAATTACCTTTGGATCTGGGTGTTAGTAGATGCATAAATTGTCGCCAACCAGAGCTTTACACGAGGCTCTAAAAACTCATTTGCAGTGAGTTAAAATCTTTCACCTGTGATCAGAGAGGATTTGGTCATAGAGTTCAAAGACTCTCATACTTTCACATCCAGTCCTGCAGGTGCAAACTGGTGCTCTTCAGGTCCTGACCTGTTTACATCCATCCCTTCATTGATATTTCAAAGTTGGCTAAAACACTTGAGAAAAGTTACATTTGGGTTTTTTCAGAATATAACTACATATTTAATTGTATATATTGAGAGATATATATAGCTACAGTATATATAGTTATATTATAAATAAAATAAATAATTATTTCTTTGATCTTTGTGGGCAATATTCGTCTTAGTAAGGAAATAAACAGAGGCCAGAGATAAGTTTCAGGGTGTGCTTTCACTGAAGTATTTTGAATTTTTAAAAAGAATGGAAAGTATTGATTTCTCAGGATTTTATTTGCCTTTTAGTTAATTTTCCAGTTTTAGCACGCCTAAATGCTAACTTGAAAACAGAGTAGCCTTTTAAGTGTGGAAGGGACCTTAAAGACTGTAGGGGGAAGCAGGTTGTTTTATAAATTGACAGTCCACTTGTTTAGTTTGGTAATTTTGTTGAAAGTGAAGTTTACCACTGTCTATACCTTTTCACATACTTTTTGTTTTAAACTCACTAATTTTTCAGCAAATCTGTTAAAATTTGTTCTAAATGAGTTTACCCACTAAACATTATTTCCATGGTGCCTGTGTTTTCTAAAGGGATTTTCAAGTGGTTTGCCTCATTCACCAATTTAAGATCATCAGATAAACTTGGAATGTCATGGGAAAGAAGTGTCGACACCACGTTTGAAATACAAATGTTACATATTCCTCTTATATAAAGGGGAAAAAACCACCCAAAACAGACCAAACCAAGCCCTCTAAATTACTGTGAGCCTGTCTTGCCATCTAGTGGCAGCTGTTCATCCTCGTTTTAGCTCAATCCATGTTATTCTAAAGTATTATTTTTCACCTTGTTTGTCATAGTAGAACTGACATAATGCTTCAGGAGAGCATCATTACATGAGGCACATAAGCAGAAAGGACTCTTCCATTTATCTTTCTACCTAGCATTACTATTTATATAAATACATAAATATATAAATATATATAGAAAAAAAGAAATATATGTAAAGTTAAACATTTAGATAGTGGTAATAAGCAAAGTCAGTGAATTAAAAAATCAGTAACATATATCTCTTACATTTTGAAACAGAAATAGTGAACTACTTACCTATGTAAAGGAGAGAGGTTTCTAAGCTGCAGTGTAAGGCTGTAAAACACCTCTGTGATGTTCTGTTTTACCTCACACTTAACACTGACAATATTTACAGTGAAGTCATGGCATGATGCACTT